ATGGCCTCGGTTGAGGCAGCGAACAGAGAGAAGAACTGGTGAGGAAGAAGTGGGGCTGGATTTGGGAAACTTCTAAGATGTGGAATGGAAATGACTTTATGACCAGTTGGATGAGGGAAAGGAAAAGGATATCGAGGTATTTGGCTCCAGAGCAGGTATTGAATTGTGTTCCCTTAAAATTCAGATGTTGAAGCCCTAGCCCCCACAATGTTACTCTCTCTGGAGATAGGATCTTTAGAAGGTATCTTAATCCATTTATGCTGATATAACGGAATACCTGAGACTGGGTAATTTAAAAACAACAGAATTATTTCTCACAGTTCTGGAGGCTTGGAAGTCCACGGTCAAGACACTGGTACCTGGTGAGGGACTTGTGGGGAGGAACACTGTGTCCTCACATGTGAGAAGAGCAAGACTGCAAGCTAGCCAAATATTTCATGAAGCCTCTTTTATAAGATCCTTAATCTCATTAAGGAAGGAGGATCCCTCATGACCTAATCACATCTTAAAGGCTGCACCTCTTAATACTACCACATTGGCAACACCGGAATTTTGGATGGCACATATGCAAACCCTAGCAGAAGATTATGAAGGTTAAAAGAAGGCATAAGGGTGGGGCTCTAATCTGTTAGGACTGTGGCTTATATAGAAAAAGATCTCTCTCTCTTTGCTATGCGAAGACATATCAAGAAGGCGTCTCTGCAAGCCAGTAAGAGCGCCCTCACCAGCAAATAAATCCTGCGAGGCTTTGATATTGGACGTTGCAGCCTCCAAAACTGTAAGAAAACCAGTTTTCATTGTGTAAGCCACCCAGTCTGTAGTATTTTGTTATGGCAGACAGAACTGACTAGCTCAGGAGCTTGGTGAAGGAGTGAGGTGGCAGGAATTGGGAGATGTTCATGCCATTCATCTAGATCAAGAACATAGGACAAGAAGCAAATCGGGACAGTGTAAGTTCAGATTTGGATATGTTAAGTTTGGCAGAAATTCACATAAGGAGGTAAACAACTGAAAGTACAGATTGGAAGCTCTGAACAGAGGTTGGCTAGAGGTATGGATTTAGGAGCCATCAAAAACAGGTGGCAGCTGAAGCCACGGGGATGGGTATACAGTGCAGGATGGGAGTTCAACCCTGGTCTCTGAGAAGAAATGTCCAGAGATAGAGGAAGAGAACCATGATAGAGTGGTGAGTCTGCAGCCAATGAGAGAATTTCAGAAAGGGGTGATTAACATTGTCAAATGCCTCAGAGCACTGGGCACATTTCTAGGAACATGTCTAAGTATTTTGAAATGGCCCTTAAAATCAAGGAGCTGGCCGGGCACGATGGTTCATGCCTGTAATCCCAGCACTTTGGGAGACCGAGCAGGGAGAATTGCTTGAGCCTAGGAGTTTGAGGTGGCAGTGAGCTATGATTACACCACTATACTCTGGCCTGGGCAACAGAGAAAGACCCTGTCTTGGGGGGAAAAAACAAAACAACAAAAAAACAGAAAATAAGGAGCTTACGGTCTACCTAAAAAGAACACAAACACATGGCAATTAGGAAATCATTCAGTTGGGATGAATTGCTTACTAATGTAACAGAAAATTGTAATAGAGATTCATCCATTTATTCTGCACACATATATTGAGCTCCCACTATGTGTCAGACATTTAGTTGTCGGAAGAGGCAATTGGGTTTTTTAAGAGAAGGGTATGACTTAGTTGTGGGGCTGGAAAGAATGATTTCCTGGCTAAGTGTAAAAGAACAAAAGCAAAGTAACATGAGCATATTGGCTGGGATGGGTTTGGGAGGGTGGAGAGGATCTGGTTTTGACCAGAGTCCAAAGAAGGGGGAATAATTTGGGGGAAAGCTTGCCTGAGTCAATTGGTGCCATAGAATGGAGAGCTGGAAGGCACCCACCGAGTGTAGTTAGTCCCAGAAGTTTTCTTACTCCAATATTTTCTAGGGGTTATGCTCCTACTGCTCCAACACAAGGCAGAAACTCCTTGTGTCAGGCTGTCAAGCTAATAGGGCCACTGCTCCTCCAGAAAGGACATGCAGCAAGTACAAGCTACTCCATTGGTCACCAAATATGCCTCCAAATGCCCTCCGACATGGATAGGACATTCTCATAACGAGATTCCGAGGCAAAGCATAATTAAAAGAGGACTTTAGGCATAAGAGCAGCTTCCAAGCCCTGATCTACACCTGGGCTCTTTCAAATAGCAGGTGCAAGGAGACTGGATGATCCAAAGAGTCAGTCATAACTTATATTGGCTTTGGGTGGACCAAGAGACTGCCTGACATATGGTCGGATGGATAGTTAGAATGAGCGAATGCGTGGAGGATGTACTACCAGTCTCTGACCACTATCAGTTTTCCCTAGCCCGGGACCTAGTAGCAAAGCTTCCCTGAGACCGCTCTAAGGCTGCAGTTCTCCAGATGACGGCCGGAAGAGGGCGCTGCGGCTCGCCTCGGTCTGCAACCTTCAGCCCACAAGTCCTAGGCAGCGAGGGGGAATCCAGTCTCTGTCAAGTCCCAGAAAACCTTGGGCCTCGGAGATTCCCCCTCCACCCTTTCCCCACCCCCATCCCACTGTCCTGGGATCGGTACTGCGGCCACCAGACACTGCCTGGGACAAGTGTTGGGGGTGTCGGGGAGACGGGCTGGGGTGGGAGGTTGGAGAGGAGGAAAGGAGCGGAGGAGGGAACCCCAGCGCTGCTGGCAAGCCCGCGGGAAACGCGAACACCCAAGGCCCAGGGGCTCACACTGTTGGGCCTGAGATCTGTTGGGGAATGGGGGGGCAGAAAGAGCTATAGGTTTCGACTACCTGAAGCTGAATGAGGCTGCACAGGTCCTGGGGCGAAAACAGCCGCGCCGCCACCAGGATACTTCCGGAATCTGTCCTTTAATTATCTGGAGCAGCTGCGAAACTTACCTTAGAGCCTCACGAGCCCTAGAGCGCCCCGGAGGGTGTCCCCGCCCCTTCCGACGGGGGCGTCTGGCGGATTCGCCGCGGAGGGCTGCAGCTTGGGCCTCGCAGGGTCGCCTGACAGTTTCAGGCCCGTGCTCCCACCTCCCGTCTCCGTCTTGGTTTAATCTCAGTTCAAAGGGGGCTGCTGAGCTCCCGCTGCTCTCTGCTTTGTAACCCGCTCCCCAGATTCCCTCCTACCCCAGGCCTCTTCCCGCCAGAGGGCGCCCCTGGAGTCAGTGGAGGAGGTAGGGGCTCTAAATACAAAAATTCAAGACGAGTTGAATCCTGGCTTGAACTGCGTGACAGGAAAATAGGCAAGTTTGGAGACCACAGGTGTTAACTTCTAGTGGGGCTTGACCCGACAGAGGAGCAGATTCTTCAACACCAAAGGCCTAAGGGCCGTACTCTCTTCGGCTGACTCTGGCCCGCATAGACGCGCCCTTGCCTCGCATTCCCTCCGCAGGGCACGCCTGTGAGGGAAACTGAAAAGCAGAAGCCGCGCTCGGATGTCTCGGCGCCCCGCTCCCAGCCTGCCCACAGGTCACGACTTGAGAAAAGCATTCCCAAAAGGAAAGTCCCCTCAAAGACTCTAGACAGTCAAGTCGGGAGAGGGAGCAGTAGAGGGATCATTCCTTCCACTGCGTCTGTGAAAGCCGACTGTCTACACGCCCCGGGCTCCAGCGGTCCCTCCCGAGGCTTTCGGTTCTGGTGCCTGAGAAAGCAGCGCAGAGGGGGCCCTGCGAGACCCCTGCAGAGAGAAATCATCCCCCGGAGGCATTCCTCAGATTTTGGGGTTGCGGAGCAGCGACTCCCAGCGCCCATTTGCACTCCTGCCTTCCGCTCCCTGCGCCTGGTTGCCTCGATGGCACTCGCGAGCCCAGCTCAGCCCGACCTAGAAGCCTGTGCCTAGCTATGGGAGACCCGCGGTAGCAACTGAGGGGCCCAAGTGCTTCTTGTCGAAGGTGGGAGGCCTAGATTCAGTTTCTATAAATCCAAAATACAGAATCAGAAGGAATAACTCCTTCTGTTAGCGACTTTTGTGATCTACAAACTCAGGCACATGATCTTATCCTGAATTGTTTGGATCCCTAGCACAAACCAGGCCAGTACACAGGGCAGGTTGTGACCATTTTTTACACTCAGGAAACAGGTGCTAGGAGGCTGTGTTTCCTTAGCATTTCTCGAGGCACTGGGGGGGGGGGGTTCAAAGATAAAAATGGGGCTCACCCTCAAGGAGGGAAGCCAGAAAACACACACTGGTTTACTCTGGCTGTGATGGGTGTGACTCCAGGGTGTGGCAGGAGCCCACAAGGGCGGTACTGCACGGCTGGAAAGAGGCAAAGCCAGGGTTCAAACCTAGGACTGACTTCTACTCAGGGGCTCCTCTCACGACCTTGGAATGCTGGGAGATCAAGAAATGATGCAAAAACACACACACAAACCTCCATTACAACCCTCTCTATCTCACTGGATCCTGCAGTAACATCTGTCAGAAAGTAACCACTTACTATTTGGGTGATTTATTGTGAATGTGTAAGCTCCTTGTGAGTAGGAGCTGCACCTAGATTAAGGCTGAATTTTCAGGCCTAGCGTAGTCCCTGGCACAGAGCCCTAGCTGAATAAATACTGTTGAGTGAATCAAAAATTGTGATAAAACTTGAAGCAAAATAACACTACCAAGAGACAGAGTCGCTCAGCGCCCTAAAGAGGAGTGGAGGACCACAAAGGGAGTTAGAAAAAGCAGTTGTGGAGTGGGGCGGTGAGACAGGTGGTTCCTCCTCAGTTCCACCCGGTCCAAGCTACAGACCCCAAATTAGCCTTCTGTATGAGCCCTCTGTTCTTGTCTAGCAAAGTGACACTGGAGGGAGAGAAGGGAGTTTCCCTGTGGCCACGCTGGTGTAAGCAAAGGCTGATGGCGATTCCGCGCATCTAGGGCCGATCCTGGGCCTGCGCCCCCTCAGATTCCCGGTCGAGCCGCAGCCAGCGAAGCAGAGCGTGGTCGGAATTGAGGCAGCGACAGTGTGAGGCTGCGCCAGGGAAAGCTCCGTGAGGGGCCAGTGTTGAGCCCTGCCCTGACCTGCTCCCCACTGTGCCCACTCCACCCCGGAGCAAGTTAGTTGCGGGATAAAGGAAGACGCGCAGACTTCGCGAAGTGGAATCGGGGTTATTCGTATTCATGGAAAAAAAAATCACTGGTTAGCCGGGGTCTGCCCTATTTAGCATGAGTCTAGGAGGCGGCGGAAAGAAAGGACGCTCTTCGGTCAAAAGGAGGTGTTTTGGGCCATGGGAGGGACTCTTGAGGTCTTTGCTTGGATAAGCTCGGAAATACAGATATCCTTCTCTTCCCCACAGGTGCCTTAGTCTCCGGGCTTATTTTTGGCAGTGCAGCGGTACTGGGGAAGAAGGCAGAGCCGCGCGTTGAGAAGGTTAGGGTAGGAGAGGTGCTGAAGCTTGGGCGGCAGGGCGCTGCAAAGGCCCAGGCGAGGTGGAGACGAGAGCTTGCTGGTGAGCGCGAGAAGCACCCCTGCAGGCAGAGGTTGAAGCGCCGTTCCAGTTGGTCCCAGAGTGAAGCGGGAGTCTTTGCCCGCCCCAGCCACTTCGAGCTCCGCTCCAGTTCAGCTCCCAGATTCGCCACCTGGCTCCAGTTCAGCTCCCAGACTCGCCACCTGCTGCGCGGTTCTTGGGGGAGGGGGTTCCTTGTCCAGAACGGGGAGGGGGGTTTCCTCGAGAACTGCAGGCCCGGTTGTCCCGGGACTCTCAGAGCCGGAGGCCAGGGAGCTGCCAGCCACGTGCGCCTGTGGCCTGCTGAGAGGTTGAAAAGCTGCCGAGGGACGAAGACCCAGGGGCTGTGGAAGATTCACCCAACTCTTCCTTTTACTCAGGTCTGGGGACCTAAAGAGGGGATGGGGATCGTCATGATAATAACTACCGCAATCTTCAGTGCTGGCACTGAGCTGAAAAACATTCAAAGCTTTCAAAGCACTTTGATGTGCTCCATTTTACTTGAATCTCACAAAAACATTGTGAAGATTGATCTCCATTTCTAAATGGTGTTGAGACTGGGAGAGATGTACAACATTCTACACTTGGTGTTTCTTAAACTTACCAACAACTATGAAATAATGGCGAGTCAGAGAAAGAAGCTGGGTGACAGGGAAACCCACCCCGCCTTCGCAATCAGACCCCATTCCGGACGCAGGCCTGGCCAGGTCGCGCCTGCAGACAAGGTCTGTATTCAGCGTTGCCAGTTCTCCTCTGTGGTTCGCTTAAGCCCGGCGTCGCCTCCCCTCCTTGCTTAGCCACCACAGTAATCAATGCTCAGTTCGTCCGGTCCTGAGAGCGCCCCCCAGAGAAGCCCCTGGGAAGGAAGGGCAAGGAGCGGGGCTTCGCGCTGGTCTTTCGCAACACAAGCGGCGAGCGCGTCTCCCTGCGCAAACGTAGAGTGGCCTCCCCAGCACTGCCGTGGGGACCGCACAAAAACGCGGGCGCAGATGGGAGGGCGGAGGGTGCCCTGAGCTTTCTTTCGCCTGGTAAAGAAGGTAGGCTGTGAGAAAAGCCAATGTTAGTATAGACGTTGGCTTTGTATTGAGGGAGTAAGAGCACTCTTCAAGGACAGGGCTGAAATCTTTAAAAACAAATAAAACTTTCTCTACTATAATTGCTATTAATAATTTTAAAAAGGGAGCCTGGATGAATTAAGTAGCTCAAAACTGCCTGTTCATCATCATCAGGAGCTCCCTCTCTACAAGGAGGGGAAAGAAAATGTGAAAACAAAAACTAAATTCGAGAAGCTCCTTGACCAGCGCGGTTGTCTTGCAGGTACCCGCCGGGCCCGGCCGAGGAGCGCTCTGCCCTCCCAGCCCCCGGCGCGCAGAGGAGGCTAAAACAACCAAAAAGAAAGCAAAACAAAAACAACAATAAAAACGTTTAAAATCCACGGACAAAAACCGGAGTCGGTCTCAAAATCCGCGCCGTTCAGGGCTCCACTCGGTAGTCGACTCGGCTGCAGGCCCCGGCCTGGTCCGAACAACGCGGGGGACACCCCCGACTCCGCTGGGGATCGCAGCCCACAGCTCCCCCTCGCCAGGCGCCCAAGGACCCTCAAGGCGCGGGGCCCACACTTGAAGCCTGGGAACGCGCAGACAGGAAACCCACTTCCTCCTAAGCAGTTTCTTGCTCGTCGGATGAGAGGCGCCCAATTGAAGCAGAATGATCCTCATCTACTAATATCCAGCGTGGCCACAAAGCGACTGGCCATTTACGCCACCACTTTAAACAAAGATATTTGGTTATTCCCGGGAAGCAAGTGCACTTTTGCATGGCTGAGCTGCGGGCGGAGGCGAGCCTCAGCCCAGCCTCCCGCCCGCTGAGCTTCCCGCACCTCGGCATTCGCCCCCTCCTGGCCAGCGCTCCCGCCGCCGGGGTTCAGGCTCAGTTCCGCCCGGCAGCAGACTGGCGGGCACTCACTCCGCTCCCTGCCCGCGCCCTCCCTGAAGCATCGGAGGGGAAAACAGCGTGGCTCTGGGCTCGGGTGCTGGGGCTGTGATGTCCTCGGAAAGTCAGCTTCAGCCCCAGAACCCCGCGTGTCTGGGAGATGGGCGAGGGTCAGGGACACCAGGTTTGTTCGAGGTGGGGCAACTTCAGTGACGGACCCTCCCGTGAGACCCCTTCCCATCATCCCAGCTCGGGGGCCAGTGCTGTGTTTGCTCGGCCGGGGGTGGGGGTGGGGAAAGACCTGGGGGGAGGCGTGTTGGTGGGGGTGGCCCACTGAAAAACCACTGAGCTGCGGGGGCGGGTGGTGGCTCGGGGATCCGGGACAGCCTCCGGGAGGCAGTCGATCCCCTACTCAGCGCCCCCTCCGCCCGCTCGGATTCTCTCGGGTAGGGGGAAAGGGGGCGGGGAGCAGAGGTGTCCCTCTGACGGCGGCAGAAGAGAGGCAGACAGACTGACAGACACGTAGACCAACAGTGCGGCCCCAGGGTTCGTCCCCAGACTCGCTCGCTCATTTGTTGGCGACTGGGGCTCAGCGCAGCGAAGCCCGATGTGGTCCGGAGGCTGTGGGAAGGCGCGGGGCTGGGAGGCCGCGGCGGGAGGGAGGAGCAGCCCCGGCAGGCTCAGGTGAAACCCCCACCCCGTCCCTCGGCCCTCTTCTCCTAAAGACCTGTTCATGTCCGGGGAACCCCGACCGAATTGGAAAGTGGTTCCACTTTGTAACTCCGCAAGTTGGTTGCAAAGCAGCATTCACCTTCCTTCCTCCCAACCATCTCTCCTCCTCGGTTACTCCCCCACCCCACCTCCTGCCCTCCCCGCTCTCGGTTCCCTCCTCCTTCCCCACCCCTCCACCTCCTCCCCGCGCTCCGCTGGTACCCCATAAAAAATGGGGGTGGGGGTGTCCAAGGGAGGGGGGAATGCTTTGGGTCTCGTCTCTGCCTCTCTCTCTCTCTTTGAGACCTAAAAATCCTGACAAGTGAAACTTAAAGGTGTTTACCTTGTCATCAGCATGTAAGCTAATTATCTCGGGCAAGATGTAGGCTTCTATTGTCTTGTTGCTTTAGCGCTTACGCCCCGCCTCTGGTGGCTGCCTAAAACCTGGCGCCGGGCTAAAACAAACGCGAGGCAGCCCCCGAGCCTCCACTCAAGCCAATTAAGGAGGACTCGGTCCACTCCGTTACGTGTACATCCAACAAGATCGGCGTTAAGGTAACACCAGAATATTTGGCAAAGGGAGAAAAAAAAAGCAGCGAGGCTTCGCCTTCCCCCTCTCCCTTTTTTTTCCTCCTCTTCCTTCCTCCTCCAGCCGCCGCCGAATCATGTCGATGAGTCCAAAGCACACGACTCCGTTCTCAGTGTCTGACATCTTGAGTCCCCTGGAGGAAAGCTACAAGAAAGTGGGCATGGAGGGCGGCGGCCTGGGGGCTCCGCTGGCGGCGTACAGGCAGGGCCAGGCGGCACCGCCGGCCGCGGCCATGCAGCAGCACGCCGTGGGGCACCACGGCGCCGTCACGGCCGCCTACCACATGACGGCGGCGGGGGTGCCCCAGCTCTCGCACTCCGCCGTGGGGGGCTACTGCAACGGCAACCTGGGCAACATGAGCGAGCTGCCGCCGTACCAGGACACCATGAGGAACAGCGCCTCTGGCCCCGGATGGTACGGCGCCAACCCAGACCCGCGCTTCCCCGCCAGTAAGTGAGGCCGCCCCACTGCGGGGCCGCGGGCTGAGCTCAGGAGATGAGGCGAGAGCCGTCCAGAAGGCGCGGCGCCGGCAGGCTGCGCGCTGGGCATCAGGGAGGGCGGCCCGGCAGCGGCGCCAGGGACTTGGGTGCGGGAGCTGGGGATGCTTCCCGCTGCTCGGCTGGGGATCCAAGAACAGGCACTTGGTAGCGCTGGGGTCCTGCGGTCAGATGCGGGTACTCGGCGTTTCCTAGGCGCGGTGGACTGGCAGTTCTGTTCCGCGCAGAAGACCTCGGGGAGCCGAGGGAAGCGACCCCGAGCTCAAGGAGCAGGGGCGAGCAGAGCGCGGAGAGGCTAGGCCCGGCCAGGAGGGAGGCTGCCCTGTTGGGAGGCACTCGAGCGCCCGTCCCGGCCCTCTCTCCAGCGGAGTCTGGGCAGGTGGGAGGACTCGCAGTTCCAGAGGGGACTCTAAGGGGCCGAGCAGGTGCCCTCACTGAGGCCGACAGGAGAGAAGCCAAGAGGCAAAGCGTCTGGGGGCTGCAGCTTTTGGAAGTCAACACCCCCTTTCCTAACCTCTCCAAATTGGGGTCTACCGTCGGACCCCAGCTCCCTGCCTGAGCCCAGTTCGCCGCCTGTGGCCAGCTAATCCCATTGCTCTGACCTGGGCTGGGCACGAAAGGAGCAGAAGCGGTCTTTCCCCCAATGCGTCTTTTGGTTCGAAAGAGGGAACTGAGACTGAGGGAGGGCAACCAGGGTTGAGGCTGTGAGCGCTCTAGTGCAGCCCTCGACGGCACGGCCTGGGGCAGGCGCTGGCAGTTCCCCGCGGATGGGCCTCTTGGGGCCCAGCGCTAGGCTGCCTGGGTCAGGAGGGCGCCGTCGGGTTGGGGCGGGCCGGGCGGGCCAATGGCGCGGAAAACAGGGGTGGCCTGGCTCGGCCTGGCCCCGGCCGACGCTGTGCGTTTGTCGCTTACAGTCTCCCGCTTCATGGGCCCGGCGAGCGGCATGAACATGAGCGGCATGGGCGGCCTGGGCTCGCTGGGGGACGTGAGCAAGAACATGGCCCCGCTGCCAAGCGCGCCGCGCAGGAAGCGCCGAGTGCTCTTCTCGCAGGCGCAGGTGTACGAGCTGGAGCGACGCTTCAAGCAACAGAAGTACCTGTCGGCGCCGGAGCGCGAGCACCTGGCCAGCATGATCCACCTGACCCCCACGCAGGTCAAGATCTGGTTCCAGAACCACCGCTACAAAATGAAGCGCCAGGCTAAGGACAAGGCGGCGCAGCAGCAATTGCAGCAGGACAGCGGCGGCGGCGGGGGCGGCGGGGGCGCCGGGTGCCCGCAGCAGCAACAGGCTCAGCAGCAGTCGCCGCGACGTGTGGCGGTGCCGGTCCTGGTGAAAGACGGCAAACCGTGCCAGGCGGCCCCCGCGCCGGGCGCCGCCAGCCTACAAGGCCACGCGCAGCAGCAGGCGCAGCAGCAGGCGCAGGCCGCGCAGGCGGCGGCAGCGGCCATCTCCGTGGGCAGCGGTGGCGCTGGCCTTGGCGCACACCCGGGCCACCAGCCAGGCAGCGCAGGCCAGTCTCCGGACCTGGCGCACCACGCCGCCAGCCCCGCGGCGCTGCAGGGCCAGGTATCCAGCCTGTCCCACCTGAACTCCTCGGGCTCGGACTACGGCACCATGTCCTGCTCCACCTTGCTATATGGTCGGACCTGGTGAGAGGACGCCGGGCCCGCCCTAGCCCAGCGCTCTGCCTCACCACTTCCCTCCTGCCCGCCACACAGACCACCATCCACCGCTGCTCCACGCGCTTCGACTTTTCTTAAGAACCTGGCCGCGTTTAGACCAAGGAACAAAAAACCACAAAGGCCAAACTGCTGGACGTCTTTCCTTCTTTTTTTTCCCCCTAAAATTTGTGGGTTTTTTTTTTTTTTTTAAAGAAAATAAAAACAACCAAGCGCACCCAATCTCTTAAGGAATCTTTAAGCAGAGAAGGGCATAAAACAGCTTTGGGGTTGTCTTTTTTGGTGATTCAAATGGGTTTCCCACGCTAGGGCGGGGCACAGATTGGAGAGGGCTCTGTGACATGGCTCTGGACTCTAAAGACCAAACTTCACTCTGGGCACACTCTGCCAGCAAAGTGGACTCACTTGTAAATACCAGGATTTTTTTTTTTTTTTTTTTTTTGAAGGGAGGACGGGAGCTGGGGAGAGGAAAGAGTCTTCGACATAACCCACTTGTCACTGACACAAAGGAAGTGCCCCCTCCCCGGCACCCTCTGGCCGCCTAGGCTCAGCGGCGACCGCCCTCCGAGAAAATTGTTTATGTTTGATGTGAACTTGTAGCTGTAAAACGCTGTCAAAAGTTGGACTAAATGCCTAGTTTTTAGTAATCTGTACATTTTGCTGTAAAAAGAAAAACCACTCCCAGTTTCCAGCCCTTCACTTTTTTTTATGGGCATTGACAAATCTGTGTATATTATTTGGCAGTTTGGTATTTGCGGCGTCAGTCTTTTTCTGTTGTAACTTATGTAGATATTTGGCTTAAAAATAGTTCCTAAGAAGCTTCTAATAAATTATACAAATTAAAAAGATTCTTTTTCTGATTAAAACCCTCCTTTTTGTTTGGTTTTGATTTGGCTTTAAATGGCTTTGAGGGCGGGGGCTTGGGAGGATCTTGTCTCTGGTCTGATGAGATTCAAATTGTTTGGGTTTGAGCTCAAAGGATTCTGAACCGGGTAAGGAGGTAAGGAGGCCAGGCCGAGAGTCCTTGCCCCACAGGAAGAGGGAGTTTTGTTCTTCTTTAGAAATTGTGTGGAACTAAACCTGGAGCAGTCCTGAGACTGCAGTGGAGGACCGAAATACCAAACTACTTCCACCAAAAGGGAGAGGGAGAGAGAAAGAGAAAGAGACCAAAGAATTCATTTTCTGAGTCAGGCTTCTGTTGATAGGAGTTTCAGAAGTATCTACTGTGGTCTCACAAACCTGAGCCAAAGTTTTAAAACAGTGAGAGAGGACACCCATTTTAAATAACTCTGAGTGAGTTATGGTTTTTAGCGAATGGATCGCCTCTGTAGATTTGAACATCAAATCTTTATTTCTAATCCGTGGCTGAGCTCCTTCACAGAATTCGGTGGGAGACTGTTTTCAGAAGTGAGGAAGTCATTCTGGGGTTTTATTTCTGCCCTAAAACAGGGATCCCTCTCGGGGACCAGCAGCAGACACCCACAGCCCCTGCTGCTTTTGGCTCCTTTGGCCTCCAATGGAGTAACACTGGGTGACAGGTCTGAGGACGTCCCAGGAAGGACTTTGTGAGCTGAGATTTCACTCTTTGTTGTACCGGTTTTTCTCTCTGGGATCCTAAATTTTTGTAGTAATGAATCTTTCTCCTGTTTGCAGTTCTTCATCTCCCAGCCACTACCTCCCATGCCAAGCAAAAAAAAAAAAAAAAAAAAAAAATCATTTTTGATTCCTTCTTCCAACCTCTAATTTCCTGGTTTCCTCAGTGCTTAGGGTTTGTGTTGGGAGACCCATCAGGGATGAGAGGGAGGGGAGAAGGAATGGTTTTGAACATAGAAAAACTGTAGTCCCTGGAAGGGCTGTAGCCCCTTCCGGGTCACCCTCGCCAAATCTAGGGACGAAAGGCAGCTGAGCGAGCTGAGCGAGCTGCGGGCAGATGCCCCTCCCAGCACTTTCCTCTAGGCCTGGAAGTATTGGATTATGGGCACTTGATTCTTATTTGGCATGTACTCACTTCTCGCCTAGATTTTCAACTTTCTTTTTCTTCCTCTCTTCCCCTCTTTCATTTCATTATGTCTGCATCTCTTCCCAATCCCTCCCTCCCGCTCCCCCACCAACAGCTTGTGAGGAAAGCAGACTGGCCGGAGTCCTCGCTCCGGTCCCAGTAGTCTTCTTTGTTGACTTCCTGGAGGCTCCTCTGGGGTGGTGCCTTAGGACTGGGGGCTAGGCCGGGCTTTCTCCCTCAGAAACCTGGGCCTCACTGCTGAGATACAGTTTCCAATATCCAGAGGGACTCGAAGATACCCAAGAGGATGGTTGGGTCTAGTGAGTGTGCTGGTTGAAAGGCGGGGAAGGGAGATTTTAGCAGGTCTCACATTTTGGAAAACAAACAAAAACCCGTAAAGTTTGACCACTTGCGTTGGAATGGTCAGCTGTGGTTCCGGGACCGGGAGTGTAGGTGGCTAAGGCACCCAGCTCAGGCCGGCCGGGAAGGGGATGTGGATACTGCAGCTGCTGTTTGGCTCTAGGTCCGGATCCCACGGAATTGGAGCTTCGCTAAACCTGCCCCAGCTTAGCCCAAGCCCGGGCGGGGACCTGGCTGGCAGTGCCCGGCTGTGGTCCAGGCGGCTGCCCCGCACCCCATTCTAACCGGGAGCAAGCCTTTGGGAGTCACAATTTTAGTAGGCTGTGGTACCTTCGGTCTTATCATCTTTGCACTGGATGGAGTTTCCAACAAGTACATTCTTCTCCTCGACGTCTAGAGTCGGCATAGTTTGAAGTCTGTTTACTTGTCCCAGGGAAAGGTGAACTCAGTTGGGTTTGGGGACCGAGACAAACAGGACCTCAGTCTCTTTCTCCCCATCAATCACGATAGCTCCATCCGCTCCCGCTCCCGGCTGGGGGACTTGTAGCAGCTGCAGGAAGAGACCTAGAACGCATTCTGAAGCTTTTCATTAGGGAAATAGGTGGCGCTGGGAGCAGTGCAAGAGGGTTCCGCAACCTGGGGACACCCTCCGCCCCTACAGCACCGTCGGCTTCTGGAAAGCCGACCGTCCTCCTTTCCGGGAATCTCCTGCATCAACTCGTGCCCAATTTCTGGCCTCCCCTCTCGGAGAAATCGGCCTTCTGAGGATGCCCCTGGCGCTGAGGTGCTTGGAAGCTTCTGAGGTTTGGGAGCAAGTACAGTTCACCCCGAGATCACTGCGAAGCTTTGCCTCCGCCAAAGTACCCTACCAATCCCTAGGCCCCAACGACTGCGAGGAGTGGGGGAGATTTTGCACACTGCACCCCCCCTTCCTCCTCTCCCCACCCCCACTTCGCCATGTAAACACGAGGACTTTCTCGAGAGCCTTGGAGAGCCGCTCTAGTGGCTTCGGGCCCTGAAACCCCAGACTGGGCTTGTTTGATGTTTAGCATCCCAAAGCGGCTCCCCACCCTGGCCCCAGCCTGGGAACTGGGAGCTGTGGGCAGGAGAGGAAGGAAAGCAGCTCTCTCAGCTAGCAAGGGGGTCAGGGACTGGGCCAAGCTCAGAAGAGGGGAGAAGAGCGAGACAGATACGCTCTGAGTAGGGGAGATAGGGATCCCGGGCTGTTGCGACTACCAACAAGGGCACACACTGCGGTCCTCAAGGCCAGGAGGCGGATGGGGGCAGGGAATGCCTCAGCCAACAGGGCAGCGGCTCGGCCCTGCTGCTGGCCCGGTGGGAAGTAGCCTGGGGCCCAGCGAATGAAATCCGAGTCTGGCCCGGGCAGTCTCCGCTAGAAACGCTCTGGGCGCGCACTCCTGGAGACACGGATGCCCCGGGCGCTCCAGACCAGTGTCCTTGTAGGAGGCTTCTTCCCGAAGCTTAGAGTTTGGCCTTTCATAGGGAAAGACTTGCTCGTGAGCCTTCTAAGGAATTTTAAATCTTCCCGGGCCAGGGCTGGGAGCGAGCTCTAGTGACAGTGTCTTGGTCTGGCATCCAACTCTCCAATTTTGAGGCCACAGGGAGGAATTCTCAGACTTTAGAGGCCGCACAGCCTTCAGCGCGCTCACCGCGTCCAGGCGTCAGTGAGGGGCTATCTCGAGGCGCGAGTGCACAAAAGGTAGCGCGAATCTCTTCTCAGGCGATCCAGATAAGAGGAAATGAGAGCGGGGTTTTCTGACTTCCAGCTCATTAGGGACCAGGTAAGGTCAATGCTTTCTCTATTATGTCTTTATCTTAAAAGCGGGTCAATTTAAGATAAGGGAAAAAAAATCCAGGATCTGTGTGAACCGTGCTGATAAAGACTGACCCCTTTTCTGAACTAAAAGCAAGCCAGGCAGACATTCATTTTCTATAAACAAGAGAGTTGTTAGAAGCTGCCTTGAATTCTGATCGTATGTCTCCAGACATCGCTTTCCCTTCCCTGCTCCCCACCCCCCAATTATTAGCGCGAGGAAGCGGAGTAGACGATTTTATTTGTGGAGAACTAGGAAGCCCATTGGGAGATGAGAATCTGAGATGATACGGTTCTTAGGCATGGGCTACTGGCTTGTTTAGTTCAACTAGGACTTTCTTTTCGAATGGAAGGAAAGTGACAGACACGGGTATTGGGAGGGAGGAGGCTGAATGTTTTCTCTGCTGTTAGATTCTAGTTAGGAGACGCTGGACACCATGTTCCTCTGGCTCTCCCTGCCTTCCTGGCTGGCGCGTTCCTCCTCCTGCAGTTGTGTTTCTGAGACTTCAGGCCACCCTCTGTGGGGCCCAGTTTAGTAGCTTACCTCAACTTGGAGCACAGGAAAGTTTTCTGGTGCCCCTTCGGCCAGTTGCTCCTAGAAGGAGTCTTATTTTCAGTCACCCTCTCTGGAAAGTTTGTCCACCCAAGCTGAGGGAATTGGATATGGATGGGAGTAGATGAAAGTAAGTTTTACTGAAGGGGGTCTGCATGTGCCCTTATCCTCACCTCATGTAGTTGTGTTTCTGAACTTTCTTTAATGAATCTCAAAGGAATGGAGAAAGAGCAGACTCAGCAACTTGGCAGCACAGCTCTTGCCTCAGCTGAAGCCATAGCTGAAGTGGCTGGCTGTATTTCTCTCTGATAGTGACCTAATGCCCAACTTGGTGGGCATCGAGGCATGATCCTGGGCTCCTGTGCCTCTCCTCGTTTGATAATGTTTCCCGTTTGACGTCTGCTACCTAAGCATTTATTACCCTTGCTGTTATGAGTTATAGCCAAGTTTTGGAAAGGGTTAGATTTAAATCCATTTTGCTGTTTTATCTATTTTTGTTATTTGTAGGACACTTCAACATAAATTGATCACTGTTAGTGTTCTGCCTGAAATATAAATAAAACATAACATAAATGTGGCAGGCAAAAGCACTTGTTAAAGAAAACTCTTGCCTCCCGCATAAAATCCACATCTGATTCTGCTTACTCTGTAAGTAATTGCACACAGATTTCTATGTATTTATATATATGTGTGTATAGAGGTATATATACATATGTATCTATCTTATACACACGTATATATAAATATCGATCTATCTTACACACATATATTTATTTTATAAGACATTCAAAACGAAAAATTGTAGTATAGAATTCTCAGAGATTTTACAGAACCCGTTAGATGCAAGAACATTGAATAAATTCACTACCTCAATTAAGGTGTCTCATTAGTTTCCCTGAAAAATTCAAATAGACCAAAACCCTTTAGTTTTACCCACTTTAAGTTAGAATATTTATTTATTGTCATGTGAAACTCTGGATAACTAATTATGTTTTAGGAAATATTAAAATTTTTTCCTAAAGAATTTGAACTTGGTGTCTGAGACACAGCTGTGGATAAGACTTCTTGAGGCATTCTATAACAAAAAAAATATTGTCCCTTGCTGAACTTATCCACCTAT